GATAATTTTTGTTCTTTGAAGGCAAATAGTCCAAGTAAATTGTTTTTAATTTTGACCTAACCACAAGTTTACAAAACCAGAAACTCCATATCTGAGATCTGGATTCCTACATTTTTTAAAACCTGCCACAGATTATTCTAGAGTAGAGATGATTCTAAGCTCCCTGTTCTAAGCCCCGTAAACTTGCATGATTTTAGCTTTGAGAATGTATCCTGGTGAGCCAAATGCAACAAGCCTGTGCTTCATGAAATGAAGTCTAAATTCTATGAAAACCCTTGCCTTTCTCCATCTGTAGATATAATTGTGATACTCAAAAGGGTGATGTGAGGGAACAATGAGTTACAACTAACCCCCTTCTCACCCTGTCATCTCTCATGACCCAAATATAATTCTACTTTTTTCAGTGACAGAATTGTTAGCACCACTCCTCACTAGCACAGCCTCTAAAATGAGGCCTGGGGGAGAAATTCACCGAGTTGTACCTTTCAGGTCAGAATATGGAATTCACAGGTGGTTGATTTTTAAAGCAGTCAGTATGATATGAATCTACTTGTTTAGAAAGTGGCAGAAGGAGGTAGAAGTGGGAAATTGGAGGAAGGAGTTGAGCCTTAGGAAATTTGGGGAAAATTATTATTAGAGTATTTTTTTAAAGGTAACAGCTTATGTCCTTTAATCTAACCAAGATGTTATAATATTTAATAATGGGCCAGAGGATTCGAAGTGTGGGGAGACTGTGGGAGGATAATTTGCCTCGTATACTCAGTGTAAAGCTAGTTTTCCACCTACCAATCTTAAGAGAATAAAATTTAGATACACTGATGCTGTATCAAAGTATGTTCCTGTTGGCTGAAATAAATGCACAACCTAAAAGCTAAGAGTTACATTTTATTCGGAGGACATTTCTGAGGGCTCGAGCTAGGATGACAGCCTCTCAGATCGCTCTGAGGGACTGCTCCAAAGAGGTGGGGGAGGAGGCAGGATATATAGGAGGTTTACAACAAAGACCAGGTAGTCGGAACATTAAAAGATTACTGTTAAAGAAAACCAGATATCTCAGGTTAAAGAATTTAGTGCTTTTCTATGTATGGGAAGGAGTAAATGTCTGGGCTCATCAAAATCATTCCTTTGACAAGCACCTAGCTCCTTGGGTCCACTAAAAAATGGCAAATGTGAGACTTGGGTAGAAATTGACATGAATTCCTTGAAGTTACATAAATTAGTTCTTTCTGCAGAGAATGTTAGCCTCACAGTTTCAGGATTACCACTTTGCTGAGGAGTATTTCCTAATCCCTGAACCTTTTCTTATTTACAAATCCAAGTCTCCTTAATCTCTCTTCGTGTTTCAGGTTTTTACACACAGTTCTCATTACACTAGTAATAAATTCTAACATCTGTTGTGCAACTATGCTATGCTAATCACTTTGCTCAACAGTTTAATAGATAGCATATTTGAATTCCCGAACTTCTTTTGCCACATTTACGATACTAAAACTTGAATATAAAAGTGCCTTGCCCTCAAGTCCATGGAAATGGGAATTCACATCCAACAGTCTTTCTCAAAGTCTACCAAGCTTCTGGTGAGTCGCCTCTGGTTTCTACGTGTTGTTAAAATACAGTGGATCAGTTCATAGTTATGAGGATGAGATCGCTCCAGACAGCGTCCCCTCCAGCTTCATCATGAAGGTAGAGAGTCAGACACTCTGCCCCAGTCGCTGATGGTTTGATGGGCTCCGTCACTTCAGGAGAAAGTGGAAACACAGAGGCAGCGCTTCCGGTCGGAGTTTGAAAAATACCGTGGCTTCCTGGCCCTGGAGGAGCAACTGCAGCTCAGGAGACTGGAGGAGGAAGAGAGAGCCACCCTACAGAGGCTGCGAGAGAGCAAGAACCGGCTGGCCCAGCAGAGCAGGGCTCTGAAGGAGCTGGCAGGGGAGCTGCAGGAAAGAAGCCAGCGCCCAGCGCTTGGTCTGGGGGAGGTGAGGCTGGGTACCTGGGAGGGGAGGGAGGGGCAGACCTGAGACCAAGGGGACAGACAGATGAGCTTTCAGGGACAAATCACTTCGGCTTTTATGCTCTTCAGGAAAATAGCACTCTAGGATTTATTTGGAAAGCATCTTCATTTTCAATCCTAGCATCAGGATCTGAAGGGAACCTAGAGAATCATACAAAATAGTCCATGTTAAAGACAAAAACTGAAATATTTTTAAAACTAAAGTTAATGGTTTACATAATATTAAACTGAATAAAAAGAGGATGATTACAGCATGCTACCTGAAAAACACTTCTTAAAACCTCACAATCCGTCAGTGATAATATTGCTGTATTTCAGTGACGGCCAGCCCCAAAAATCTTGTTCAGCTGTTTTAGTGCCAATGGCTACAAGTAGGAGTAACATTTTAAATTGTTCACTTTGAAATGTGCATTGTTAATTTTTAAGGCAAATGCTAATTTTCTAGCCCTGTTGTCTTGCCCGGTCCAGGCTGGGTGGGGAGCGATTTCTTGGGCTCCATGCAGCTTGCTCATTATATTTGAGATTATAGAGCGGACAGAAAATAAG